TCCCGGTGAGCGGCAAGGCAGAAGGGTACGCCACCTGTACATGGAGCACATAAAGGCGGTTGCTTCCCTGGTTCACCTTGGCGAGAAGACGGCGGCCTCTATCCTAGATGCGCAGCACACTGTCCTCAATCTCCAACCATGAGCCATTCTCATCTAGCTGCCTAACGCTGATGATGGAGTTCTTCAAGGCCAGGATGTAGTACACCCTGGTGAGAAGACAGTGCTCTCCTGTTTTGGCCTTGAAGATGACCGAGCCGACGCCCTTGATCTCGACGGCGAAGGCATCACCAAACTCGACGGAGCCCTTCATGCAGAGTCTAGGTCGAAGAAGAACTCGCGCCGACTAGTCATGTGGTGCGTTGCACCGGTGTCGAGGTACCAGCCATCGATCTTGTCATCGACGGCACCTTTGCCGAGCAAGGCATGGGCGCACAGTTCATCAAGGTGGAGCTCAGCAAAACCAGCCGACCTAGAAGGGGAAAGCTTGGACCTTTCACCCCCTCCCCAGTGTCATGCTATAGCTCGACGCACCTGTGTGCTAGGAATACGGTGGCATCCTGCTCTTCTGCTTGCACGACGTGAGCCTGCCCACCATGGCATGGAGGAAGGAGGCAGTCCTTGGCGCAGTGGCTAGTCCTGCCATAGTTGTTGTAGGTATCATCCCGGGTCGCCTTGCGCTCACCGGCGGTGCCGCCATCAGCGCTGACCTGGCTGGGGGTCCCTTCTCCTCCTTTTTGCCACCGCATGGACGCCGATGACACTCCTTGGAGCTAGACAAACCAGATCCTTCCTTCTTCTTCTTCTCATCGAAGGCGCGCCACTGCTCCATCGTGTATAGCAGCTTGCCTCCGGCGGCGCTCGGCTCGGTGTGAGGCCCCTCCTCACGGTCCTGCACTGCCTTGAGCCTCCCAGACACATCCTTGAAGTCGGTGTGAGCAGCTCGAAGTCGAGGAGCGTCTTGATCGACATGATGATCTGCGCGTACGTCCTTGGCATGCAGCGGAGGAATTTCTCCATCGCGCGCTCCTCCTTGAGGTCGGTGTCGCCATTGCGCGCCATCTGCTCCATCAGATTGGTAAGACGAAGGGCAAAGTCCTCGACTTGCTCACTAGGTTGAAAGGCGAGGCCTTCCCTCTCCCCTCGGAGGCACTGCAACATCACCCGGCGCACACGATCTCCATCGATGCGTGCCGCAACAATCGATTCCCACGCCAGCTTTGTCGTAGCGTTGTTGGCGAGGGAGGCGCCGAGCTCGGTGGGGACGGCGACGCACAACGCATCCAGCGCCTGGCGATCAGCATCATAGTCGATGCCGCTGACGTGAACCGCCTCCCACAACCGCCGAGCCTATAGCTTGACCTTCATTTGCAGCCTCCACTCGTGGTAGTTCGACTTGGTGAGCATCGGCTAGGGCGTTCTCGCTCCGGAGTCGCGGTAGACCGCCTACAGCATCGAGGAGTGGCCGGGCCGACCACGACGCCGCTCTGGTGACGGCGACTGGCGGCGGTGCCTGACCATGCTACGCGATCCTCCAGCTGGCTCCGGCTCCCGCTCTATCTCAGCGCGCAGTGTTGCAGCCACGTCTACCGTGGCCTGGGCCGCAGCTGCCGCCTGCCTAGCTGTCTCGGCCGCCGCCATAGCCACTGCCTCTACGGCAGCAAGGCGCGTTGCGCGATCATCGGCTCGGGCCCCAGCGGTGGCGCGCGCTCTCGCGACCTGGCTGGCGGTGGACATGGTACTCACTCACTCAAGAACCCTCTCGATTCTAATATTAGATTGTTGGCCTGATTGGATCTCAGATTCAGATCTGAACCTACCAGAGGGCAGCTTGACCCTTGACCGCTTGGATTGAATGGAAAATGCAATGGCTTATTTTTACAATGACACTCCTTTGCCCTTTATAGGCAAAGGGGACTCCCACTTTCTATAGCATATTCCAACCACTAAAGTGGATGCTGAGCATATTCCTAACACTAGGGTTGGAAGCTAAAGAAAGTAAAAAGTGCAGGAAAAATAAGATACAAGTGCTTTAGCATTAGGATTATTTATCACATGTCAGAGGTTGCATGGGTAGAAGATGAAAGCAGCATGTTGTCGTTGTTGCGAATTGAAGTGATATATATTCATATATATTATTATATATACCACCGGCATGCCACTCCTACACTACTAGCTAGCTAGCTACCGTCGTCCCCATTTGGAGCTTCCTCATATGTTAGCTATAGCCTACACTACAAGTTGTTCTCCTGCATAGTACTATATATCCTATAGGTAGCTACCTTGATCTGATTTGACCCGCGATATGTGTTCCGCTATAAAAGTTATCTGGACTTCAAGCTATAGTTGGCCATGCAGACCGAGCACGTCGGCCCAGCCCAAGACCCGTTTTTTGGCCCGGCCCAAGCACGGCCGGCTCGGCGGCAAGCGGACCTAGGTTGGCCCAGCCCGGAGGAGCAAGCCGTACCTAGGCCTTACTCCAGGCACGTGGGCTGGCATGGCCCGGCCTGCTACAGAGCAGCCGGCCCGCTAGCGGCCCGGCCTGCCCCCCCCTCCTCACTCCTCCTCCCCTCCCCATGGGCCATGGCCCAGCACGGCCCACGCGCTCCCCGCCGTCCCCGGCCTGCCTCCCCCTCATATATAAGCGGGCACCGGGCACGCCCACGGCAGCTCTCCGCCTCTCCCTCACGGCCTCATGCCTCACCCCCAACCCTAGCGCCGACGCCATGGACGCCCCCTCCCCTTCCCTCAGCGCGACCTCTCCTCTCCTCGCAGCGCCGACGGCCGAGCGCGGACGCTGACGCCCCCTGCCCCTCCCTCTCCTCGAGCGACGCCACTACGGGAGCGAGCGCGCCGGCCCCGAGCTCCGTCCCGACGTAGATCCGGCCGAGCGCCGCCTCCTTCCTCGGCCCCGAGCTCCGCCCCCGTGCAGATTCGGCTGTGCGCTGCCTCCTTCCTCGGCCCCGAGCTCCGCCCCGATGCAGATCCGGCCGAGCGCTGCCTCCTTCCTCGATCCTCCTCACCATCCCTCGCCTCCGTGGGGTGCTGGATCTCCGCCATGGATCTAGCCACGCTGGGTCTTCTCCACCGTGGATCCGACTCCCCACCTTTGCCTCGACGCTGGCGCGGCGCCTCCTCCCTGTCCCTGTCTCCCTCCCTCCCTCACTCTCCCTCGGCGGCGCGCGAGCGGGCAGATCCGGCGACTCCCTCCCTTCCTTGTTTTCTCTCATCTCCATCTCGCTCACCCCCTCTTCATCTCCTCCTCTCCATCACTTGAGGAAGGGCGCCGCCTGCGCAGCTCCTGCCGGCTGCCCCCGAGATCCGAAGCTCGCCGCTCCCAGCCCCGACGGCCACCTCCTCCTCGCCTCCCCACGCGGCCGCTCAGTGCGCCTCGGTCTGGCACGGCCTGTGAAAATGGCTGTGCTTCTCGGGTCGGCCCTGTGAGGCACGGCCCAGGAGGCACGGCGTGCCATGCCGGCCCGTTGGCTACCAGGCCGTGCTGGCACGGGCCCGTGCCATGCCGGGCCGGGCCGGTCCGTTGGCCATCTATACTTCAAGCAACCAGACATTCAGTTGGTGTGGACTGTGGCCATACATGCCGGAGCTGCGCATACATTCTCATGTGCTGGATCTGCTCATGATGATACATTTATGCCTGCCTTTGATCTACTGAAGGTAAACAAAGTCTCAAAGAGACTGCATTGGAGCTCAAGCAACAGTGTCCATGTGCCACGGAGTCGCCAAGTCAAACAGGCACCGACCCAACAAGGAACTAATCTCACCCATCAACGTGGAGTACAACAGAAGAATTGAAATGGGCTGGACCGGACAGGTATTCGTCTTCATGTTAAGAGTGACAAGATTGACATGTGTGTACCCGAAAGGCCCACAGGACCGTGCATGGGCCGTCCTAGGCAGGAATCAGGCAGCCTGAAAGAGGCCCAAGTCTGTTAAAAGCGCCCGCTCTTATTTTTGTCAGGTTAACTGAGGGAGCAGGAACAGAGCCCACGAGAAAAAGAGTCAAAGACTCTTGTGTCAGACTAATAAATCAGTAGATCAATCAATCAAAGATTTTTTCTAGCTAAAGGGAGTTTATTTCATTAAGCAAACAAACGCTGTTTTCAACAGCTGAGCAGATGCAAACAAAGGCTGCGACTTGTGCTTAGTTATCCGGCCGTATTGAATGGTTTAGACTTCTGTTGCATTGAATGTGTATATATATATAATAAATAATAACTAGTGACATTTTCCTTCTCATCCCTTCATTAAAAGTAGAACAAAATTTTGAGTTTTGACCTGACCTCTCACTCCCTCAGATTACAATATCCTGTGCAAGGATATGTCAAATTAATCTCCCTCCTAGTCAGAGAATAGCACGAAAGAGCAGCCAAACTGCAAAATGCAATGCTGTGTTCAGGACTTTTGAATGTAGAACACTTATTTCGATTATTAGGATGGTGAAAGCATGCACAATAAACAAAGTGTTGGGAAAACGGCTCTGAAGAGTAATGCTGCACAATGATGGTCGGCATCCATGGCCTGTTCCGCTGTTGGTGTGAGTGGGTTAGTGCAAACCCACTATTGCAGGATCTAGGCAGCACATATATATACTAGTCAATTAACATCAAGGTGTGCAGCCAAATAAAAACCCTGAGCCTGAATTCCAGCCGGATCAATAATACAATAAAACTCAGAGGACAGCATATATATACTGAATCTTCCAGGCACAGCTAGCACGGTCCTTTTGTTTAATGGATTTCATGGATACATAAAAGGACAGACATGGGGCTGTCAGCGTCGTACGTGATCTCCACGACCATGAAAACAGCACTAGTAAACAACTAAGCTCGCATCACTTTTTTTGTTGCATTGCATTATCTCCCAGACCCAGAGGTGTCCTATAAGTAGGCTTAGCCATTCGCCATTTCCCTCTCACCATACTGATCTGACGAGGATCCCAAATACGTGCAAACCAAGCTAACCACAGTCAGGGATCGATCGGTATGGCCTCAGCAGCGGGCAATGGTGCTGGCGCGGCGGCGCTCATGGTGGCCGCCTCCATCCTGGCACTGGCCGCCGGCGGCAGCGCCCAGCTGCAGTACGGGTTCTACAGGGGCAAGTGCAAAGGCACCGACGTGGAGGCGGTGGTGCAGAGCATCGTCAGGGCCCGCTTCGCGCGCGAGAACCCCATCGTCGCCTACCTCCTCCGCATGCAGTTCCACGAGTGCGCCGTCAATGTACGTGCGTGTACAAGCTATAGCAAGTCGTCCACTGTCCACGCGTGTGTTGCGCTACCTGGTTTGTTAATAATAACATGATGACACGGCACGGTTACTGTGTAATTCGCAGGGCTGTGACGGCGGTCTGCTGATCGACGGCCCCGGCACAGAGAAGACGGCGCCGCCGAACCTTAGCGTCAAGGGCTACAACGTCATCGCGGCCATCAAGGCGGAGCTGGAGCGGAGGTGCCCCGGCGTCGTGTCCTGCTCCGACATCCAGATCCTCGCCACCAGGGACGCCGTCGCGCTGGCCGGCGGGGCTTCGTACTTGGTGCGCACGGGGCGGAGGGACCGCCGACGGTCACTGGCCTCCGACGTCAAGCTCCCGTCGCCTGAGTTCACCGCGGCGCAGACGGTCGCGTACTTCGGCGGGCTGGGGCTGAGCGCGTTCGACTCGGCGCTGCTGCTGGGCGCGCACACCGTGGGCGCCACGCGCTGCAGCGCGATCAAGAGCAGCCGGCTGTACAAGTACGGCGGCAGGCCCGGCGCGACGGACCCCGGCATGGACCCGAGCTACGCGTTCTTGTACAAGAACAACGTGTGCCCCAACGTACCCTCGTCGGACAACAACGTCGTGTTCCTGGACGACCAGTGGAGCGTGCTCAAGGTGGACAACCACTACTACAAGAACCTGCAGAAAAAACGCGGCGTGCTCGCCTGCGACCAGAACCTGTACAAGGACGGGTTCACGAGCTCGATCGTGGACCTGCTCGCCAAAGACAACGGCCTCTTCACTTCGCTCTTCCCCAAGGCGCTCGTCAAGCTCAGCGAGGTCAACGTGCTCACCGGCACGCAGGGGGAGGTCCGCAAGGTCTGCAACAGGTTCAACTGATGATCCGCCAATATATCGATCACCGTAGTACACTCTTGGCTTGTTCGTCATTCTCGCTTACTTTTCTACAGAGTACATGGTTTGATCGTCTGATGTCGTTGCCCTTCTCCTTCCCATTTGCTTCATCAAAGATACTTCATTTCAGCGTCAAGTTTGATTCATTCTTTTTGTAACATGATGTCGGTTTAATTTGTAATAACAAACATGATGAGTAATGTACCCCATGTATGAGAAATCTCAGAAATTCAGATGAAAATTTTAGCTTTTGAGTACATCCATCGTGGAAGTGACAAGCATTCCGTTTCCCAGTGCTATGACCACTGACGTGCGAGTCATGCTCTGTTTGTGCTCAAACTGATGCCAAACGGGCGATTCTCCCGACCGTGCCACCGACCATTACCCCGCTCTCGATTGTTTCGGTAGTTTCGGGTTGGTCGTTTTCTGTAATGGATTGTTGACTTGTTGTTGGGCCAAGTTTTCTTCCCACCGCACCAGTCTTGTTACGATCCATGTATTCCAGTTGGGACAGAGATAATGGGCAACCCGTGGCGCTATAGGGTAGCGCGAGACCCCGCTACCACCGCCGCCCACCGTCCGACCACGGAGCTCTGGCGAGACCTACTGCGCCGGGGCTCTCCTTCTTGTCCCCTCCCCCGCCGCTGCCATGGTCATGGTTACTGTCACCCTAACCTGATCCGGCCGCCTTATCCGCCGCCTGTTCTGGTGGTGTCACCGCCACCTCCGCCTGGCCGCTGTCTCTCCCGCTCCCACTGCTGGGCCTGCCTTCCTCCCCCAAGCCCCTTCTAAAGCCACCGGAGGTGGAGAAGAAGAGGGGCACGTCGTGGTGGCCGTGGTCGCACGTTGAGGAGGTAGCACGAGAGGTCACCTAATAGATTTTGCGTTCTAGTTGCCCATATATATCATTTATGTTTGAGTTCATATGCCTCCACTGCATCAACCTTTATCTTTTCCTTTTATTTTTTTCTATTATTAGGTGGATTTTTTTCTTCTTTCCATTTCCATTTCCTTTTCCTTTTTATATTTATCTAATTAACTGTTCTCTTTATTTTTATTTCCTTGGTTATACGGAGTGTTTGATATTCTATGATGTGTTCTATATTGTTTTTATAGTAATTTTGAGATGTTTCATGAAGTATTCTCATAGTACTCATATTTATACATGTTGTATTTGCAATGTTCTTGTAGTACTGGTAAGACTAGTATAATGCCCGTACTAACACCACAGGTTTTATCTTAGGGATGCACATGAAAACAACCAATGTTTTTTTCCATAGTTCAACTTTTACACAATTGTATTTGATCATGTATACAATCCGGGAAACATTTTTGCATAAGAAGGCATAGTAAAGTTAGTGTGTGTTTTTTCCTTCAAAATTTTGTGTTTTTTAGGTGATACACAAGAAGACAAACAATTTCATTGAGCGACTTTTTCATTATTGTGTAAATTGATACACAAGCAGACAAACAATGAGAGGGGCAAAACTGAAGATTGATTCATGTTTCAGCATGGTGGTCCATATACACAATTTCACTACCAATCTATGAGCCGGAGCTGGAAGCCTGGAAAGAAAAAACAACACGATACCTGGAAGAGCAAAGAAGAAATCAGGAGCCAAAACTGTTCTTCGCCAGTCATGCCACCGGATCAGCATAAGAATGAATCTGGAGGTAATATAAAGCCTTGATCTCTGCTCCCTGAGGGTTTTGCTGAAGCCTTCTCTCCATCTTAGTATTTCAGTTTTTGCTGATGGATGCAAATCAATACACAAAATCAATGGCAATAATTTTTTTTGTCAACTAATTAAATTGACAAGGATTATAGAGATTAAAAAATAGTCATTTAGGACATTACTTACCACCCTGTCACCATTCCAGGACATCTTTATACACTATATTTTTGGTGCACTTCCCTATTGGATCTAATTCCTTGTTTGGTTTAGCCAAAATTCTTGTTGTTTGCCTGGACATACTCCTCGACAAGACAACATAGAGCTGCCCATGTGAGAACACTGGCTCTGGAAGATAGATCCCAACATGTGGGATGGTTTACCCCTGAGCTTTATTTATTGTCATCGCAAAGCTCAAACGAATTGGGAATTGCTTCCTTTTCAACTTGAAAGGAAGTGAAATATAATCTGTTGGAGACATAGGGATCCTAGGTATGAACACCCTTTTCCCTGCATGTTGCCCACCAACTATTTCTGCGTCAATTGCATTGTCTTGGAATGCTCTAACCATTAGTCTTGTTCCATGGGGGGAGACCATTTGGAGTGATGGAGTTCAAGAAGTCAATAGGGTAGTTATTCCTTGAATCATCATCGACAGAGTCAAAGCTATGATAAACCTTTTCCTCACCTAGAAACTTGTCAATCATACTTGCATTTAGCTGATCCACATGCTCATTTGTGGTAGATAGGATGGCGCGTGTGCTCATATAAGCTGATGATCTTGCGTTTTTCTCAAGTGATGGGAAGACTTCTTGAATGAGCTTGTTTACTGATTCTTCGTTGTCAGTATAGCCAATCAAAATATCATCTAGAAGGCGTACATAATCATCTCCAATTGTCTCTTCAGTTCCATTCCCAATTCTAAGGAGGTAATATGCAAACCATGGGTCAGACTGAGCCCTCATGTTACGTGACAACCGTATCTTTCTTATTCTTTCCCACAAATAAGATCGCTGTAATATAGCATCTGTTACATGTGCTCTTGTCCCACGTGGTACCACAGGTAGCACATGTCTAAAATCTCCACCAAATACCATAACCTTTCCCCCAAATGGCAAACAAGAATTCATAATATCTTGGAGAGACCTATCAAGACACTCAACTGCTAGCCGCTTTGTCATTGCCACTTCATCCCAGATAATCAAGGATACCGTATGCAGTAACTCTGCAGTGGCACTTTGCTTTGTGAAGCTACATGTGCTATTGTCAGCAAGCTTAATTGGGATTTTGAACCTTGAGTGTGTTGTGCGTCCTCCAGGCAATATCGATGCCACAATACCCGAAGTTGCAGTCGCAATGACAATTAATCCCTCTGAGCGCACTCTACCAAGAAGTGCCTTATATAGGAATGTCTTTCCTGTTCCTCGTGGACCATCCACGAAAAACACTTGGCTCTTCTTATTCAGTACGCAATTTAATATTTCATCAAATCCTTCACGTTGTTTGTTGTTAAGAGATGCATACATATCCAAATGTTCTTGTCGACAGGCACAGCTAGTTCCTCCCTAACATTTTTCATAATATCATTGTTAAATTCATCAGCTTGACACAAGAAAATGATAATGAAATCAGTAAATAAATATAAAATAGTTAGTGTATTGACATCCAAATATTAAACTATTAGAATTATGTATTGTACCAGACAATAAAATATTTTTTAGAATAATATTACTATGGAAAATATTACCTTTATCATTTAGCTCAGGTAGATCATAATTCCTGATATCCTTTCCCATTGACTGAAGTAAATCCCGAATGTCTCTGAGAATCATTTGTTCTACTGCTGCTATGTTAGGATTGTTTCAGCTATAATCTTTAGAGAAAGATTCCTTGTACTTGTCCAACAATCCACGCATGTTGGTGGCCTCACAAAACACAAGGATAGTCGCAAATAACCGTCGCAGAGCTACTGGCATATGAAAAGTTGTTGCCTCACTCAAGCAGTCATCAATTGTATGATCCCTTTCTATGAGTCCTCTCTTCTCGCATGTTTCTCTGAAAGTAGGGTACATGATTTTAGCAACTATCTGTAAATTCTCAAATGATGTTGCACCTCGTACATGATTTAGAAGTACTCTCAAGAAATATCTTTCTCCTTTAGCCGGGTGTGCATACACAATACGCCCCACCTGTCCCCTCTGCTTTCTTCTCTGCCACACCTTCTTACCACTAATCCACCAGCAGTGTTCTGGGATCTCTCTATACAAAAATTTCCTTGCATAACTATCAGCATGGTTCAATGTGAAGTATTCTGTGAGTGTCGTCATAGTTGCGGATGGCTTTTTTACAACATCCTTGAGATTGGCTGTCTCCTCAATAATAACATACTACATATTAGGTAGATGACACTGGAGCTGCAAAATAGATGGACAAACTCCAAAAAGGTGGAAGCCAAAAATCCTATGTATAACTTACGGGGATGATATGTATCTAGCATCCCTGTACTGATGGATCTCATTGATTACTCCAGTAGGATCAACAGAATATGATGCACGGTCGTGGCCTTTGTGTACATACTTAAACAAGTACTTAAAAGCTTTGATGCTTGAGCAAGCTTCAACATTTATGTGGCAATTATATGTCATAAGCAGCCCAGGATTGTATGGAACCACCCACCTATTGTCCAACTCGGCACCTCTTACTTTCACACGATGTCCCCCTCCTCCTATACAAAGGATATGAATCTTTGCCTTGCTGTGTTGCTGCACAAAACTGTCTAGGATAGTGAAAGTGGCATTCTCCATTAACTATACAAGCACACTTTCTATTCAAAACCCCACATGGGCCATGCAGCATATGCTTGATGACCAGGCTATGCAACATATGGTATTTATCCTTGTCTGGTAGCTCTGCATAAATGACTTTGTCATAAGCATCTAGGGTTGTTAAGTTACTGCCTTTCTTCATAATTAGTAGGATGTGTTCATGTGGAAGCCCCCTCTTTTGGAATTCAGTGACATGGACATATGCTGCCACATCTCCAAAATACTTTTTCTTGATCAATAAATCCATCAAGGACCGCAACTTGGCCCTGTATACTCTTGAAACCAGCTCAGGCCTATCTTGTGGTTCTTGGCCAGGCTCAAGATTTTGAGTAATCTCCTCCCAGTACGGATTGCAAGTCATGGTGATGAAGTAATCTGGTTTTCCAAAACACTACACTATAGCCATTGCATTAAGAAATCTTTGCATCATGTCACGATCGCCACTTAGGAAACTGCGAGGTAGCACTACTCTCTTGCCAACCTCTGA